TTCTGTACGTAATTGTAAAGTTCTAATAAAGCTTATGTCTGTAAAAATGCCCATGAACATACAAAAATCCAGCCCTAAGCTCTTCCACACGGGACTCATCATAAGTTGCACTGATAAACTGATAAGATAAGATTGCGCATAGCAGCTGGAGAAGTTCCCATATAATGCTCGTTTATTCTGTATCTCGATACAGGAACATTTTACAGTATGTTCAATTGCCTCTACACACGATGTAAACGAACAAGAGAAGAAAATATTACTCTGACTCTGAATAACTGTTGATTAAATAAAAATCTACGACGAAACGAAAAGAATACAATATCGTTCAAAGGATCAATACATGTGCAAGAAGTGTATATCGAGCCGGGGGTGAGTCTTACTATAACAAGTAGTGCAAGCAAAAGAGATGCGGAGAACGGTCTGTACGTAGAATTGCTCGAGAACGAAGGACGCGAAAACGGTAAAGCTAGATGTGTGCGGGTCCGATTGGCGAAATTGTACGTGGAAAAACGCCTCTAAATCAAATCACAAACGAGACAGACACAACAAAAAAGCATTTCATATACATATACGGTGACCATCAACATTACAGTGTTAAAGTGGAACAGCAATAAATCGACTGAACAAATCAAATTTTGCTACCTTTTACGCACATAGAACTCTCGATTAATAAAATGACATGAGCTTGCGCAATACTACGGAATATTAACGACACAAGTAATGAAATGAGGAAGGCGGAACTAGTTCGTCTATTAACTTAATTTCTAACCCAAAACAATGTTTACGAACATCTCGAAACACGTCAACTTCATTCATAAACACCGTTATAGGGTTTCACATTGCGCAAGTCTGGCATTAATGACTAGAGGAGAGAAGGGTCTAAGCATTAGCGTCATTTACTAGTAGCTAATGCTTAATTTTTAAGTCATCAGTTTGACGTAAGAGTTATAGTTAGACACGTCACGTTTGAGGATCTCACGAACAGGTCCCATTACACGCTCAAAACGGGCACGATCCAGCTTGATGCATTTCAACTGCGTCTTCGCAACAACTGTGGCAGCACGGGGACGATCGAGAAGAAGGGCAATTTCACCTGAAGATGGGTGATTTAAACTTGTTAATGATATAAAGGAAATCGCAGAGGATATACTCACCAAAGTAATCGGAAGAAGACAAATGACCAACAACATCAAAAGGCGCGTCATCACTTCGTTTCTGTAGCACATTAGCTTCCCCTTCGAGGATAATGAAGAATTCATCACCAGGCTGGCCCTACAAGCGCATAATCATGACAATCAGAAACATA